TTTTTTTTTTTTTTTTTTTTTTTGGAAGAACCATTTGATTGTCACTGGCTGATGTACAGGCAGCTGTTGTCTTGGCTTCTCTTTACCCTCCACTGGAGGCTTGTACAGCGTCAGCATTTAGGCCCAGGTTTATTGATTTCTCCTCAGGTGATAAAGATGTTGTGAGCTTGCACCTGGAACTCTAATAAAAAAACTAAGCAGCCATTTAGCGAGGGCAGTAAAACCTGAAAAGGGACATGAGTGATTGTAAGAAGGACCTGTGAAAAAATGCTATAGCACCGTTACCATACCATGCTGTTAGTGGACACACACTTAAAAACAGCCTGTATAGACATATTCACACACCTGTTTTAGTGAATGCACCAATTAGCTGGTCCACCTGTACAGTTTAAAGAGCTGTGAGCTGATGTATACATGTTGATATATCTGCTTCTGTCAAATTAGATGACAACCAACAACAAATCCAATTGGCATGAGCTCTATTCTATTCTATAAGAAATCTGCTTAAAACTATATTTTTAATACAAGATTTTATTATTATTAAGTTGAATATTTAAATTGTTGTGTATTACAACCAGCGACTTATTAGTATTTTCTGGCATGCAGAGTAGTTCAGGTCCGATCACGACTCCCCAATGGCATCGAATGATGAATTACACTTTTTGTGTCAGTGGTTAATCAGACATTAATGTAGTATTTGTGCAACTATACCTTTAAGAATGGTTGTAGGTGTAAAAGCGTAGCATTCTTTAAATTCCATTGTTTCATGCGTATAATTATAACTGCTTGTACTTCTCGGGATCATTTTGGTGTAGTATTAACCTTGTCACTTTGCTTTATGTACAGCATTACAGGCAGGACTGCGAGACATTTCGCACAGTGGTAAAAATGTTGGTGGAAAAGGAGCCCAGTTTGGATCATGTGCTCCAGACTCCTCTAGATGCAAACCTGTTGGAGTTGAGACAGCGCTGCCTGGATGACCTAAGGAATTTTGTCAAAGAGCTGGAGGAGGAACCCCAGAAACCAGATGCGTCTGCAAATGCTACAGGTCACTAAACATAGGAGTGAAGTTAAGTTTGATAGCTTACTGCCCATTTTTATCATGTTTTTTAAAGAAATTGAGTTTACGGTATCTAAATGAGTAAAATACCTATAGGTCATTATTATCACAATCTTTTACAAAAAATATAAGTTCTCATGAGATATTTATCATCTTATAATTAATTACCTTTTAGTATTGAGTGAAATCCAGAAGGGTAAGCTATCAATTCTGTTTTTAACTGAGATCATTTCAGCATGATAGTGAGAATGAGTCACAAAGGGTTTCCTTATCGTGTTCCAACTGATAAAAATATTTTGATGTATCAGTGAAAATAAATACTATAAATCATATTCAGAGTATTCAGACCTGCACTGGAAAACAGATGCAGTTTTCCAGTGCAGGTCTGAATATTCTGAATACTCCTGAGTACACAAAGCTTTGTATTTACATTCCTAAATTTTTTCATTGTCTATAAGTAACCCCAAAATCATGGTAATATTTTCTCTTTTAAAACATTTTGTAAATAAAAAAACCATCAATACAATGACAACTGTTTTTCAATATTCATTTAATATTTTTGCACGTGAAAAAAACATGATATATAGATTTTTATTACAGTTAGCTATTTTACCTTTATATTCCAGTTTGTACATTTATACACAATACGCTGATATGCTTACAATACTGTGAACCATAAATACACCACTCAACCAAGCCTTTTAAATACACTCAATGTCTGTCATAATATGTAGTTCGTGCATAAGCATTTAAAGAGAGTCCATTGGAGGAGGTCGAGTGGTCGTCAGTTGACACTGTATTTCTGACACCATCTCGGAAAGCATCTCTGCACAATTTTCCAGAAGTTGTGTGTTAATGTTATTTGGTAGAAAACGTGTTATTAACTTGAGGATATAAAAAATATTGTTCAATTTCTACAATATATACATCAATTTCTGCACTGCTTGGCCCAGTTATAAATATACATTGCTCAAAAAACCTTCTTGCTGTTGTAATGCTATGGAAGCAGACTTCTCTGATTAGGGTTTGATGACCTTGTGTTTAACACAAGCATGTTGGTAAAGTGAATTGAAAAATTAGTATTATGTTTTAGTTAGGGTTGGCTTTGTGGCTGCACAGTTGAGCATTAGAAAATGATAGTTATGAAATTATACAGTTTTTGCCTTTGTGCCCTCTCTTCTTTTTAGTCCTTTGGCCATAAGTAGTTGAGGACATGCCTACCACAGTACTGGCCATATCATCAGCGTAGAAGTTTCTGTGAGGCCTGGGTTGAGGAATTGGCTGACCGAGAAAAAAGCCTTCCTCCTCAGAATCAGAAGAAGACGATGAGCATGTTGAACACCAGTCATCTTCATCCCCATATAACCCCATGAATCTCCCTCTGACAGGGCCTTCGAGCCCACACTCTGACAAAGCTGGAGGGCTACATTGACTGTGTAGCGCTCTATGGCCCTTAGGCCTGAGGGCGTTCCCTCTTTGGCCTCCATTGTAAGACATTTGTGCTCTCTCCTTCGGAAGTAGGTTGAGAGCATTGTCAGATCGAGACTTGCGACTGTGTCGCCTTCTGTGGTGGTGATGATGATGTTGCCGACCAGAGTTAAGTTCTTGACCTTGTTCCTCAAAGTGGTATGCTCTCCTTCGAGTCCGTTCACTCATTGGTGGCCTCCGCTCTGGGAGATCACAGTAATGTCCATTGTCTACCACATCATCAGAAAATTTGACTTGCTGAGGCCTAGACTGGGAGCGTGTCCTCCTTAAGGCAGGAACATTTTGTTTAGAGCTATCCACTTGCAGAGCTGCCCCCTCTTCTTGTGGAACAATTTCTTCCACCTCCTCATCTTGCTCAGAAACAAGACTCTTGAGAGAATTTACACTTCTGTGTAACAGAGAAGAATTGAGGGTGCCCATGTTACTGGTTTTGTCACAGTCCTCTGTCTCCAGCTCATGGAATCCTTGTAGAGAATACACCAAAGGTCTGTCCTTACTGTCACCATCTACTGATGCACCTGGAAAAATGAAAGACATTTGGAAATGTTGGCATACAAATTTATAATTCAAAGTATTAAAGTCAAACATATGGCCATGACACCCACCTGTGATATTGGAGAGAGCCAATGAGTCCATGGAGTCACGCACACTCTGCTCTGTTTTCTTGAGCTCATCTGTGATGCACTCTAAGGAGTCATTGTACCACTGGTTCTCCTCTCCCTGGAAGCCACCTTCAGCTACATGATCTAATTCCAATTCCTGAATCTTTCTGCTGCTAGCTGGACCTGGATGGCTACCATATGCAGAGTCACCGAGTCCATCCTGTGACTGAGCCCAGTACATGTCCGCCTGATATTTCTTACAGGCCAGGTTTCCCCTTCCTCCTTCACTGCCACTGCCTGCCTTTGATGAATCCTGCTTAAATTTTGTATCCTTTTCAGCTTTCCAGAAATCTGTTGGTCTGGAGTCCTTGGCTTGCTGGAAGACCCCATGCTCTCCAAACTTTAGTAGCAGTTGAGTCATGTAGTCTTCATGTTCAGCCCACTCTTCTTCTCTGTCTTCAGGGGCCTCTGTTTCCTCACTGCGTCCTCTCCAGAAATGCTCATCATACAAGTTCATGTGAGTCAGCTTGTTGGTCAGGGTGTCATCTGTGTTTCCACTGTAGCCGGGAAACTTGTAGTCAACAGAAGGTGAGAAGAGGAGCGATTGTCTGCATTGATCAGCTGAACGACTGCTCTTGCCCATGCGTACGCTGCGTCTCGATTCACGCGAGCGCGCAGACTGGAACGCAGAATCAGAGGAGTCTGAGGCATGTACATCTTCCCCAACACTGCAAGCCTTGGAGCAGTAAATCCGACCTTGGTGTGGCAGGAAGGGGCAACCAAGTAGACAAGTCTTACAGTGGGCGCAGCTGAAGCAGCTCTCAGTCGCATGCCAATGAAGTCCATCATATGTCATCTGTGCATGATCGACACCTAGAAATGGGTGACATTTAAAGTTGTAAGAAAATGAAAATCTTTTAGCCTTGTCAATCGTGTCAAGACTTACATTTCTAGAAAATGAGTCATCACTAAATTACCTATGTGGTCTCCACAAGCCTCACAATACTCGGCATAAAGTGATTCAAAACAGCCACAGCAGTAAGGCCTGCCATCCTTCATGATGTAGCGTTGTCCTCCCAGAATTGTCTCGCATTCAAAACAGGAGAAGTGCTTCATGTGCCAGTGACGTCCCTCGGCCTCTGTGCACTCATCAGCAAAAATAATCTGCAGACAGGGATACACACTCACCATGAACCTTTCTGTGATCAGTCTGGGCTTATGTACAAATGTTCTGTCTCTTCTGAGTATTTCAGTCTTGTGGCTTTACCTCATCGCAGGCTGAGCAGCGTGGTTTGAGCAGCTCAGCGTGGTGTCTTCCACAGTGGATCTTTCCGTCGTGGTAGAAGTAAATCAAATCCACGAGCAGTTCTCTGCATGTGAAGCAAGCAAAGCATGCAGGATGCCAGCACATCCCAGGCCCTGCCCTTGAGGCAAACACAGCCATTTCTCCTCCGTTGATCTTTTCTCCACACTGCAAAATATGTACATGCAAAATATTCATACAAGCAGCAAGTACACCAAACACTATCTTTTCTATATACAAGTCTAAGAGTAACGCAGTTGCCTCGTTCCGGATAACCCAAACTGATACATTTCAATTGACCCATTTTTGATCTTAAAAACATTATGTTTGTAGAACCGTTGCGGAAACTTACATGCTCACAAATGCTGTTCAGATGATTACGGGGCAAAAGTTTTATAGTGCCCCTCCCGAGTGCTTCCTTTTTCCTCTGGACACTGAACATATGTAGCTCTTTCTTCTCCTCCTCAGTGAGGGACTGGCAGTAACGTACCTGGCAAGGAAGGCAACATATATTTTATTTTTGTTATCTTGTAAGAGCAGACTAATCTAAAGAAACTAAACTAGACTGTTGGCCACTAATACAGTAAATCATAAACTTCATTAGAGAGATGGAAAACAAAGGGAACTCTTGACCCCAGCTTGCCCTTCCTCCAACCTCCTTGAATATCTCCACCCACAGTCCCTGATCGCGAATCTCATTTTTACAACAGGCCCCTTTAACGTTTTCCCAAAGCCCTGACAAAAGAAATAAGGAGACGTTTACACAAACAAGAGCAGTGTTTAGAAAGAAACCAAGAGGACGGGCAACAAAGGACGAAAAACAGCCAAGTGGAACTGCGGTGCCATAGTTGTGGTGGCATCACATAAAGCCTCTTTCAGCCAGCATCCCTAGCGCCTGCTGAGCGGTCCTCGTAAAAACCACTGCTATGACAGGAATCCTACTGGTGGGGGCTCCCAGCAAACATCATAAAATCATCAAGTCAAAAGTCACATTGTGCCCACACTACATGTCTACAAGATTGTGAAACAAAAATCCCCCTGTGTGATGTCAACGTGAATGCCAAGGGCTCACATTAGTGGCACATCTTGGAAATCTCAAGTGTTTTAACGCTGTGTGTTGCGGGCAGCAACAGACAGCTAGCTACTCAAAATGTAGAGTGGCTCCTTTTTGCTGCTTGACAGTAATAAGATAATCTGTGAGGGAGAATAATCCGATAGCGTATAATCTTATAGTCATGCTTTCAAATATGTTCTCACCTCATTATCATGTGGTGGCAGTTGGTAGAGGAGCTGTTTGATTCTGAACTTCTCTCCCGGACTGTTGACGTAAGGGATCTTATCCTCAGACAGACAAGAGAAATATAACTGGATCTGGAAAGACATAGTGGTATGAAGTATTAGGGCTCACAAATGTAAACAAATCTAAAATCTAAAACCAAAACATAAGTCACATCATTTTAATTATTTGAATCTGTTAAAAAAAAAAACCTGAAGGCTGTATTTGCCAACATTAAATTTACTTGTAAATATACTATTACTTAGCATTCAGAATCTCAGTGTTAAGTTACAAGTTTTCCTAGATCTGTTGGTTTCCCTGTCTTTCTTATGCCAAGACAGGACAAAGCAGTCTGTTGTGGTGACACTTTGACCCTTGGGGCTGGTCACTGAAAACTAAACTTTATGAGGGAGGGGTTATTACAGGCAGGCAGATAAAGATGTGGGATGTGCTTGTCTTGTGTGTTAGTGAGCTTCCTGCAGCTTTGGCCTTCTGAGGCCAGGGGGGTTTACAGCAATTTACCCTGACAATCAACCCAACGTTTGTCCCCCTCCTTGCCATAAATTATGCACATTTTCATGCTGCTATTACCCCTCATCCAACGCAAACGGGGCTGGGAAACAGTTGACTATCACTGAGACACTTTGTGTTTCTCCACTGTAATGGTGACCCATAATACATGTGCGTATTCAGGGCTCAAACTGTGGTTGACCGGTGCATTTTCACAAAATCAGCTGTGAGGTTTTAAGGTACAGTATAATTCAGGGCAGAAGAAAAAGGAATGGTGAAAAAGTCACATGTCTCTACTTTCTCTGCAGTCACAATTAACTGGCATCAGTAGTAGGCTTTTAGCATCAAGTGATAATCACAAGCAGACTTTATTAGGTTGTTAGTCAAAGTAAACAAACCCAACTGTAAGTAGGTGAAGCCTAACAAACGTCTGCCTCACACATAGCAGCAGTTTAAATGAGTCTGCCTTCTGCCCATTATCCAGAGACTAGCTGGTGTTTCATGCTTTTATCTGGGCCAGAAAAATTCCACAAGACAATTGGAATCAGGTAAGAGCTGTTTTTATCTCTGTCCAGAGGATTCGGCACGCCTCACTTTGGTGGTTCAGGTTGTTAATGAAACGTGGACGAGGAAGCTGTATTGAGGCTAAGCATGCTTGTTTGATTTTGGACCATGTCATAAAGTTTTTCTTTAAAGCCAAAACCAAATTTAAGTCAGATGGTGCTCACCTGTTCAGGCCTGAGGCCAGGTGGTACCCAGGCGTACTCTTCCAGGGCACAGCCTGAGTCATCATCGGATGTGGAGCTGCGCTGAAAGCCAGAGGTCAGCTTGCTGACTTTTTGATCCATCATTAAGTCTCGCTGTCGTGCTCCACCCTGCAAGGCTGGCACCGACACAGTTGCACCCACCAGGCTCATCAGACTCTTTGCTGCAGAGACAGAATGAAAGAATGAAGAAAAGATGAATACAGTTGAGTATGGACAAGGAAAAAAAAACAGGAAAACTCAGTGAGAAGTTGAAATGGTTTTTAAAAACCAACTACAGCCAATCTGCATCTACTCTCACTATCCTTAATTGTGTAATTTTGTCATTGAGCTGAATGATAACCACAGTTTGAATCACCCCATAACTGTCTCTTTCATGCAGCCCATTTGGTTTGTCGGCATCACCAGAGTAAGAACAAAGGCCAACTGTGGAGCTTTGTTGGGATCCAGACGACTTTGTGTCCTGCAGAGGTGCTGGGTCCAGAGAAGGACCACCACATGTGATCTAATGCTGCCTGATCAGTTAAGTCAGAGGTCTGTACAAACACAAGACAGGACCAACACATGGGGAATGTGCACAGTTTCGTGGTGTCCCTTCATCTTTCCTTTTCCTTTGGGCTGTTTGTTTTCCAACCTGCCACACTGAGTCTCTGATCATGCTTTCATCTTTAGGACAGACAGCAGTGACAGACAGGTGAAGGCATGGGACAGTGACTGGGGCATGGACAGTGAGGGGAAGGGAATTATAAGGCCACCTGATACATGTTTGGACAGTAGGGAAAATAGAGATCAAAGAGAAGCACTGTGTGTGGTGGCAATAGTCTGGACTGCATCACTGTGCTGTGAGTGTGGGAAACATGCGGCAACATAACACATATAAGCTTTTAAATGTCTTTTAATAATTTTTTTATAAGTTCATAATGATTTGTGTTTATTTGTATTTTTCCATTTTTTTTATTAAGTCAAAATCTAAGTCACTGTATACAGCCTACACACAGCCAGGCAGACCCTGATATGATGAATGTGTGTCCAGTTGTGACCATTTCTCACAAGCCAAGTGCTCTAGCTGAGATCAAATAGGGAGCACAGCCAGCGTCCGGCAGCCTGGTCTTTACACCACCTCCCCCACTGCCTCCACCCCCTATGGGCAACAAGGGCAACAGAGGCCGCTGAGAGACAGCTGAGAAAACCAGACAAACTCTGATGCAGCCTTTGAACACAGGAGTGTCAGGAATGGGCCCTGTATACCCGTGCGCTCCCTCTACCAGAATGATATACGTGCCCCTGGCTGGCCTTTGAAAAACATGCAGCTACTACGTACACACAAAGACGGAAGGCACACATTTTTATGCTGCAAAACACAGCTACTCTAGGTGTAATGACGTCAAACACGCCTGGTCAGAATCGGCTCTTTGCTTGTGTTGTGACAGCCATCTCTATGATACACATGCATGCCAGTGCAGGCAGCTACAGTCTATTCACATCAACTCATCTTTCAAGGACAAGACTCAGTGGCCTCACCAACTGCTAACTACTGGTGTGCTCCTGCCTACCGTAACCAGAACAAGCTAATTGGAGCTAAACATAGTCTGTGGTAATAGAGGGATTATATTTGGGATTTGTTACAAAGTGTCAAGTCAAGTAATTGACTAATGACATGTCCTATTAAAACGCCTCGGCTTCCCTGAACAAAGGATCCTTTGTGAAGGAATCCACTAAAGGCTCGTTCCATTAGGAGGCGTTTTATCTCCTTTTCTCCTCAAGGTGTGGTGTGATATCTGTGTATACATGACAGTTAAGGCCCTCGAAGACTGATAACATCTTCAGATGAGGGAGCACTATGACAAATAAGACATTCTCTTGTTCTACTCGTTTCTATTGACTTTTAAATTAGACTAAAATAGCCCCTGAAAATATGGCCTTATTTGAGAGTAGCTACAGTTTCACATGGGAGTTAGCTGACTGTAGGCAGGTTCAGTCACGAGCCAAGAGACTTCAACTTTACTACATCACCTTGTTGTTTTTATCGAGCACAGATTCACTTGTGCAGTATGTTTCTGTTAAGGATGTTTGCCTTCACATGCTGCTCAGGTCTGAGTGAGGATGTCTCACACAGTTCAACTTGACTCATAGGAATGCTGGGCTTGAACTTCATCTGGTCTCATAAACACACGGTGAAACCAGGCCATTGTTAGGTAAAAGCCCTTCTTATACATCTGCATTGGCTCACATGCTAATTTTTTTCCTTTCAATGCCACGCACCTCATTTCTTCAGACTTCTCCTAGAATGCTTCCTTTCCTTTTTGAATAATGGAGGCTCAGATCCTTTAGACTTAGCAATCCCTATCGAGAACTGCCAACTCTGACTCATCACACATGTTGGCTTTTTTAAAGTGTTTCTCACAACAAGGGACTTATGTTTTGTGAGATTAGAATTGAAAGTCTCCCTTCTTGTGGTTCCGCTCCCCCTGCCCTGCCCTGCCCTGCCCTCCTCCCACTCTGGCCAGACCCCTGCAGTCCTGAATACTTAACAGCCCCTCGCTCTTTTGTAAAGGTGCTTGTTAACATGGTTTTGGGAGCTGCAGGCCCGCATATCTGACTCATCTACCCGCTGAGGGCTAGAAGGAAGTGGGGGTTTTATCAGGCATAGGCTAAAATAGGGTAACTGACATGTATAAAAATGATAATGTGTTCCACAAAGGGGAGGGGCTTACATTAATGGGTTGTCAATCAATGTGGTGGTGCTGTTTGTCCTTTAACTCAGATGATTTACTTTATCTTCAGTGACCTGATGGATGATTTTAAGACCACATGACAATCTGTGACATGAATGAATTGCTCCATGGTAAACAACCTGCGTCAACCTTACCAAACTCTTCTGTTCTTGTAAACACTTCACAAGACTTTTACTGAGCAAATAACCCATTTGACTTCAAAGTGATAGAATAATTTAATTAAAGCGAACAATCTTGCTGTTCCCTAAATGACACTTCAGTATTTGGATGTTCAGGAACTTTTGCAATTCAAAACAAGCTTATTGTACGAGAAAGTGTTTTTGATTAAAGATAAGAAAAGACATCTTGAGCAAAACAAACCCTGAACTTTGACTTAAATTTAGTTGAATTTTCTCAGGCATCTTCCTATTAAACTTAAACTAAAAACAGACAAAACAATTAAGTGCTCTACTTCTTCAGACCAAGCACATTTTCTTCAAGCTTCACTGCATCTATATCTGCTGTTGAGAACCCTGATTATATCTCCCTCCGTTATTTCCCTGATGGTCTTACCTCAGTGTAGGCCAAGTCTCTTGAGTCAAGTACGAAAAAAAAAAAAAGGATCTTATCACTTCTATATCCAGTCCCAGATATTTCAGCAGCCTCTGGGTCCCATATCTGTGCAAGATCCACAGAGCTGTAATTCCAGTACAGAGACAGTCAGCTTTCTCCACCAGTGCTGTCAGAGCAGAGACAGCCCATATCAAAGCTGAGGCTGTGAAAAGTCAGAGAGCTGTCTGTCTCAGTGTGTGGACCAGAGCTGTTTGAGAGGTGTATGCGCGTGCGTGGACTTGGAGAAACACAACCAGATGGTCATTCTTCCTCCTCCTCCTCCCCCTCAAACCCAACCCTCCTAACCTTAGCCCACCCCTTAACCTCCAGGCAGCCAGTCACTGTGAAGGCAGGACAGAGAGGCGTCTCCACCGCCGAACCTCCCATCAGACTTCAAACATATGCTGCCAAATGTGAACCACTGTTGGGGCTCCAGTTCATTAGGACTGTGCTTTTAAGCAGCACATCAGTGACGATAGAGCTGGTTTTACCACATGGACCACTTCATATTCACAACAGCTTTCACATGACATTCCTCTGTCTCTGCCTCTCAACAGCTCAAAGATGTGGGGAAAGTGGTGAATGTTAACGTCAGACTTTGTTTTACTTGATGGTCTGTCTTTTGGCACCACATAGTCACGGGGAACTGTTTGTTAACTACAGCTTTATGATTACACAGTGACTGCTGGCTAGAACGAACAAAACATGCTTTGATTGTTTCTGACCAACGACAGCATTCTAACCAAGCCTCATGTGACCCTTGTCTAAAATGTGGTGGCAGTAGATCTAAACAGAACTAGATCTGAGCCTTACTGTTATCTTCCTCCTAAAATTGTTGAGGTTTTTGACTTTCATTTTTCAATATAATGTCTCTTTTTCTGTTTTTCTGTAATATCAACATGAGTCAGGGCAACTTGATGTTGAGTGCCTTCATCGTTTACCGAAATAATGCGTGTATTCATGTCGAAACAGGCTCTACAAAAGCTACCAAAGTGCTTGAGAAACTCCCATGACCTCTAGTTCTCCTTCACCTTTTCCGGAAAGCCAGAACATAATTATCTTCCTGTTGCCTTAGAAAACAAAAGTGGCCAGTTCAGGTCAAATTCTGGACAGTTGCGCCTTTTGCATCCATATGTAGTTGTTTAGTTGCAGTGTCAAAGTGTTACTTTCCCCCAAAAGGTCTTGCTTTACAGCGGACATAATTGTGACCTAGATGACTGCAGGACTCTTCTCTTCAGTGAAGGTTTTTCCGATGTGTGTTTTACATACTTCACGAGTGAAAACAAAGCTTTAGTACTACTTTACTAGGGAGCAAGGAATCTATTAAACAGCTAAAATTGCTTTCTTTATAAACATTTAAGTGGTTCTTGCATTTTGTGGCCATGACGTCAGGGTATCGGTGTGTGAACTCAAACACATTTGAAACAGCAGGGTTTATTGAGTTTAATGCTGCTTTCATAAACGAATTTAAATTGTTTTTGTTTCTCCAATAGGATTAAAATACTGAGAGATTCTTGAAAATTTAAATCCCCTGTTTATTAACAAAGAATGGCTTTAGACAATGATGTTGCTCTTCTTCACTCATCTAGAAGCTTAGCACAAATATGAAACACTCAGTCCCAGTTTGGTTCATGCGTGAGTCTCAATGCTGCTCCTTTCCAGAGCCACACACACCTGTCTGGCTAAATGACATTGTGTTTCATAGAATTCTGGCATCTTTCCAAAGGGAAAATTGACTTAAGTAACTTACTTATATGATCCAGTCTGTATGATAATAGAGGGATTATATTTGGGATTTGTTACCTCAAATGCAAAGTCAGGTGGATTGACTAATGTTT